CCATACTATTTTCTTAGCTACAACCCTATACACATCACATGTGTGTAAACCAATTTAAGGCTCCCTGGGTATGAACCAAATGTGGAAATTATGTACTTTTTCAGGGGAGGGAGGGGGGAGGGGGGTCTAAAAATGGGAATAGTTGTAGTAGATGAAAGGTGCATTCAGGGATGGACAACTGATTTTACATACACAAGACCATTATTGTCATTAGTTATTCATTCAAGTTTCCAACAAGCTGAAGCACGTGTTGCCTTAAGTTTTTCTTTAACACATTTTTACAGAGTACATGTACTTAATACATAACAATACCCCAAAAGGGAATAAAATAACAAGACACCTTTTTTACATATATTATTCTCTCTTAGGTATCGAAGGTTTATACACTGTAATGTTTGTAATGTAAGGAATGGGTACATGTACATGTATCTAGTCCTGGTATAAAAAAATATATGGAAATTAGCAAGCATGACTGTGCAGAAATATGAAAGTTTTCAGATACACTTAAATATTAGACTTTGCAAAACAAGATGAGTGAATTGTAAGGACTATATAACAATAGGTGTAAGCAATTGTTTTGGTTTCTAACATCACAATTCCTTGGTTATGATCACAGAATATGAATCCTACACTGTATGTGTTTCGGAGACAGCAAAATTCAACAGAATGAGACCTATCTTTAATTAAGCCCTTCATTGTTCAAATCCTGTGACCTTTGGTGGCAAGACTGCCTTTTTAAGCAACAACCAGAAACATATTTGGCATTCTTATCTTTGTTTTCAAAATAAGGCCTAATTTGCCTCAGGCAAACAAGTGTTTGTGTGAAAGCTCAAGAATTTAATTACTACAAGTATGCCCAAAAGCCAATACCAGTTAACATTCTTTTAATGGAATTTTGGTGGGAGTTTAGTTTATCTTTTGTTGTGAAAAAAATAAAACTGTAAAAATAATCACTTGGCTAAATCTTTTGTTTGAAATCCAACAGGATATTGGTTGTAAGCACTGAACCATTTATTGTTGCATGTCTGAAACAAAAAGGTGTCTCCAGCTTGTTGTTCATAGAATAAATTGCACACGATTTATTTCAAAAGAACTTAAATTAACCCTGTAGTATTTTAAAAACTCCATTTTAGTCCATAATAAAATGTCCATCCACTGAGCCAATACCAAACCTATTGTGTTTACCGGCAAAACAATACACACCATGGCTACAAACAACTTCAAGAAAGTACTATTACTGCTGCATATTTTCCATACAAAAACTAAAATTATAAACTAACAAATCAGATTTTCTAAGATTAGAAAACAATTATTTTGTTCCACAGTATTGCTAGGGAACANTAGTTTATCTTTTGTTGTGAAAAAAATAAAACTGTAAAAATAATCATTTGGCTAAATCTTTTGTTTGAAATCCAACAGGATATTGGCTGTAAGCACTGAACCATTTATTGTTGCGTGTCTAAAACAAAAAGGTGTCTTCAGCTGGTTGTTCATAAAATAAATTGCACACGACTTATTTCAAAAGAACTTAAATTAAACCTTTAGTATTTTAAAACTCCTACTTATTTTAGTCCCTGATAAAATGTCTATCTACTAAGCCAATATCAAACCTACTGTGATTACCGCCAAAACAATACACAGCATGGCTACAAACAACCTCAAGAAAGTATTATTACTGCTGCATATTTTCCATGCAAAAACTAAAATCATAAACCAACAAATCAGATTTTCTAAGATTAGGAAACAATTATTTAAGTTAACAGTACTGCTAGGGAACAGAGATGATGTAATGTATTCTATTTATTCATTATTTTTTTCACTATCAGATGCATTAATTTTGTGTTCAAAGAGTATTTGTCACTCATCACTGCTTTACAAGAATGAAAACAATTAAAGCAAAGAGGAATAAAATTACCTCATAGAAATAAAATTTCTAGGAAAATCTTTTCCCACATTCATTTTAACTGAAAAAAATCCATGGGTTTTAATTTGTTCAGCCATGCCATAGTGTAGTCATGACAATGCAAATAAAATGCTACCCCGGCTATTTTAGGACATGACAAAACAACTCAGAATTTATCCAAGGGCAATATAAATGATTCATGTGAAGATGGCATGATTATCAGCCATACTAGCTCACAGCAAACACAAGCTTCATCACTCTTTGAATTTCATACCGCAATGCACACAGTCTAATAAACATCCAAACAACCGCTGCACGAATATCTTAAGATCACAAAGCTTCAATCCACTAAAACGCGACGAATAAACAGAAAC